TGGGATTTTTATTCCAATATTTTGCTTAGTAATATTAGAAACAATAACCAACACATTTCTAGCTTGTAGTTTGGGAAAAGCCAGTACAATTCTGTCATTATCAAGATCATTCTTCGTCTGATATCCTCCAGATGCTTTGGATTATATTTTCATTAAGTCCCAACAACTCAGCCAATAGTAGGAATGATGGGAGTTCTCCAAAATATTTGGAAGGCACTGACTGGGCAAAGAGTAATATTGTGCTTTCTTCTGGCATATAGTATATAAGCCATTTTCCCATTGATATGCTAAAGTTCTTCCCATCCGGCATAACATTTATTGGCAATTTGTATTCTTCATCCATTGCCTCTATTTTGATTTAATCCTGAATGGTGCTGTCATTGTTAGCATTTGTAGGCAATCAGCCCCTTTTCTACCTTTAAATTCCATCCCCCACCCCTTTGCTTAAATGTCAAATTGTTACAGCCAGTAGGAAATGAGGAATCAATCAGGATAGCATGAGGAAGGGTCTTGAGAAGATGGTGAGTTTTAACAGATGGCTGACCACCCTCTGCTATTTTATCAGAAGATAATTAAGTTGAAAAAGAACAGCATGTGTATCAGAACTTGTTATTTCTACCGGTAGCTGCTGAGTAGGCTTGTATTGAAGGCAGGTCTACTGTTCTTCCAAAATTCTTCTTCCCCCACTGCAAGTTGGCTTGCAGAGGAAAAGTGATTGGAAAAGAGTGCTAAATCCATACTCAAAATCCAGCATCTCCTAAGCCCCACCAGTTAGCTCTTGTGTGGATTTGAGAGATGTTGGATAAAGCAGAAACAAGAAAGATGGATCTTTCAAAATCCAGCACCTCCCAAGCATGGTGAGGCACAGCTGTGCAAAGTGGTGCTGTGGACAATACATTCACCTTTTGGTTGGTAGCTTGGTGAACTGTCTTTAGGGAGCTAGGGGTTTTGAGCAGCTATGCCCAGCTCTTCCCTGGAAAGTGGGTGAAGATCCCACAATGTTGATAGAGCTGAATGCTAGGAACCCAATGGGAAAGGATTCCGTCTCCTTAGAGGTCAATTGATTGTGATACCAATAGAATGGGTGGCAAAGTGCACCAGATTTAATACGCTTTTAAAATGCCATGGGCTGTTGATAAAGGAGAAAACACTGTTTTAACACGAGAATCTCATGTATTTGGGTTGTGGACATGGCAGAAAAATAATTTCATAGTTTCACCTAAAAAGCCCCATCACAGCCTGATTCTGAGAAGCTGTAGCCCAAGCTAAAGACGTGGCATTAAAGAAAACAGAACTTTATAGTTGAAAGTCTGCAGTGACTAAACAGAATAAAAACCAGAAATAAAGATAAGTATTTTCTCCAAGAGATCCTAGCAATAAAGTTCTAGTCAGCCATTATGAGTTAGATTTTCGGAAGGAGTTGCCATGGATAATGTGCCTCCAGGCATTCCTCTAGAAAATTATATGTTTCAACAAATGTTGAACCAAGTGTTGAAGTAACAATAATTCAACAACATCGTACATATTCACCAATTTTGTTCTGATAATGTATGTTTGTTTTAAGTAGACTTTTTAAAAGTTTGATGGAAAATTAAGGAAAACTGCAATTCAAAATTCTATATCAGATTGGAATCATGTTTGGGGAGTCAGGCGCACCATATTAAGGATGCAGCATGATTCTCATGATGCGTTTTGATTCTTTGTGCTACTAATTTATTCATTTCACTGCAGAGTTATCAAATAAGTGGACTTCAGGGTTTGATTTCATCAACAAAATGTTTTGCCAAGCTTTCTGTTTACTCCTGGCATAATGAAGAACAGTTATTTTTGCTGTGTGGGTTTGTCTTAGTAAACTTTATTCCCAAAAGGCACCTCTAGACCAGTGGTGAGATTCAAATAATTTAACAACCGATTCTCTGCCCTAATGACCATCTGGGTAGGTGGGGCTCAGTGGTCATGGGACTGGGTGGGCTGGCCAACTCAATGTCACTCATGTCCATGGGCATTTCGCCTTAGCGGTTCCAATGTCATAAGGGTTAACTGGAGAGGCAATTTCTATAAGCAGGGCAATAACGATTAGGCTAGAAATGACACCAGAATGTTTCCTTCCTGCCTTCCTTACAGGATTAGCCCTATAAAGTGGAAAAAAACAAAAAGATTTCTTCCAACAATCAGTTCTCTGAACTACTTAGAAAGTTACCAGCCGGTTCTCCCAAATAGGTGCAAACTGGCTGAATCCCACCACTGCTCTAGACAGTGTTCTTTACCACTGGGATGCTTGCAAACTCAGAAGGAGAATTAAGCATCAGATCGCGCAGAGTCAAACTTCAGGAAAAATAACTCAAGAAGAAAAGCAGGTTGCAGGTTGACATTTCATTTCTACTGCTACAAAATGCTCTTCAAGCTATTGCTCCAAAGTAAGAAATACAAGTTGAAGGCATTTCACATGACATAAAGAACATGGGTTGGGAAAGTCATTTTGGTTGTGTGCAAAATATACCTGTATCTCAATAGGAGCTGATTTGTTTGCATGAGAAAGTATGACTTTCATGCAAAAGTATTCTAGTAGTTTTCAGCTTCCTTCTGGCCATAGACTAATGAAAGGGAAACATTGAGAGATTGTCCTCTATATTGTATTTCAACAGTTTTTGAATTGCATATTTACATTATCTCTGCAGATTAAATCACGTTTGGTTCCGAAAAGAATCTTGAACAGGATTTGGGATGTAGAATCCTGATTCATGTTTCCTACTTACTATCAGAAGAAGACATAGAAATCTAATGTGATACATAGTTCATTCATTTTTAATAAGATTTTAAAAAAAACCTACATTAAAAATGTATATCTATTTTGGGGGGGAAGATACCAGACTCCTGTTTTACCTATTTGTTGGAACCCTGGTGGCACAGTGGTTAGAATGTAGTATTTCAGGAAAACTCTGCCCGCAGTCCAGAGTTCGATCCTGATGGGCTTGAGCTTTCCTCCTTCTGAAGTTGGTAAAATGAGGACCCGGATTTTTGGGGCCATATGCTGACTTTGTAAACTGCTCAGGCAGTGCTGTAAAATTCTGTGGAGTTAAAGTGATATTGCTATTGTTAAAAAACACCCACTTAATAAAATTTCACTGCAAGCTAGCATACAGCAAAGCACATGCCTGCAATATGATTTGATTTTAAAGAATGTCTGTGGATCCTAAAGGATACATTTAGAAAACACTAACAGTGGGGTCTATAACTTTTTCTTTTATTTGGAAATGTGTTCAGATACCTGGAATGAGGACAAGGGTGAGTTGTCTTGCTACTAGGCTAGGACTGACGAAGAATAATTCAACTGGTAAAAAGATGTTTAGTAACTGACCACGCCCATCACGGCAGCTGTACTGTCAGGATTGCAAACATTCACTGAAAGATCGTCATGCTTTCTCAAAAAGAAATAAAAACGTGGGTTTAAATGATCAATCCCCTTAAACATTTATCTAACAATTTTGGCTACTTTTGATTTAAGCCATTAGAATTTTCAGAGAACTTCCTCTAGGTGTCCTCATAGTTGCAGTAAAGCATTAATGAAATATTCTTTTCAGGAGGCACTCTTGTTATTCCACATGCAAGGCTGTTAAATTAGAAAGCAAGAACATCTTTTCTAGGCAGTTCTATACTCTTGTACTCTGGTGGAATGGGTTACATATTTCCTGGGCTATTATTTCTCTTTTGAAGTAAACTTGTCCAGAGAACTTGAAAGAAAGAAAGAAAGAAAGAAAGAGAAAGAGAAAGAGAGGGGGAGAGAGAGAGAGAGAGAGAAAGAAAAAAGACCATTTTTCAAAATCTCATTTAGAGTCAATTTCCACCAATCAAATCTCATCGATGTTATATAAAATCTTTGCAGCAAGCACAGCAGGTTCAAGGATTCAAAAACTGTCCTGGAGCATAAGTGTCTAATGGAGATTCTTAGTTATCCAGGTCAGTGTTGTCCCAAAGGTGTTTTTTCCCCACTTCTCATCCAAGAATCTTTTTCAGTTCTGGGAGCATAATGTGACATCTAATCCTGATTAATTTCCTGGTACTTTTTATATCATGGAATTCTTTCCAACATTGCAGAAAGCCACCAAGAATTAACCATAAAGAAAAATTTAGACTGTGTGCCACCCTAGTAAAATTATGCTATATAAATTATAACCTTCCATAGCTACATTACGTGCATTAGTGGTATTGTAAGCAAATTTATACACCAACTTTTATGGAAATGTTTACTTATTTGTGGTAAAAATGTTTTCATGAAACTGGGAAAATCACTTTCATAATGAATCTTGCTGTTGATTTAATATCCATAAATCCTAATACCTGGAAATCAACGCAGCCCAAGACATTAATCCAGTGCCTGCCATAAACTAATAGGTTTGTTATTGCAAAACACTGGAAAATTAATATATGAGTTAGTCTGGATTAGAGGCATTAATAATTGTGATTTCTTTGGTTAAAAATGAATATACCAAAGACCTCTGAAAAAAGTCCCAGTGAAAAGAAAATTTATTTAAATCTAGTCACCATTTCGGTTTTGAATTTGTGGCTTTTTAGTATAGGTTTTTAATTTCTTTTTTTTTTTTTTTTGCTTGTTCAGTTTTGTCTTCATAATTTATTTTCAAATAGGGAAATACTGTAATATTCCCTTTGGTTCCACCTGTCACCCACACTGGTGGGTATTGATGAAATCACCTTCCTGTTTTCCCTTTTTCCTAAAACAAGAATTGGGAAATTAAGAGGGTTCAGAAAAAAAATGTGCCTAAGCAGCTCTTTTTGTTTTGCAAACAAAGGTCTGGAGATCCCGATGGTTGTATCATCCTCCCTATTAATGGTTTGACTTTTTAAAAGAATCATTAATGCTCGGGACAAGTTTCTGTAAAAATATGCCACTTAAATGGTGTTTGTTTTCAAAATACCAGCAAATGTGGATAGACAAATTGGTGGCAATTATGTGGAGGTAGATAAAAAGCCAACTGAACTGAGCCCAAGACCATTCGTCTCCTCCTGTCAGAATGGGATTCAGTTCAGGGATAGAAGAAGGCAAAGAGCACAGGTTTGAAGCATTATACAGTTTGATTTCTTTTTTTACTTCTTTCCAGCAAATGTTTTGTGGAAGGCAGCTGGGAGGTGCTAGGAAAGAGAAGGTATCCTCCACCTGCCTTAGGCAATATCAGCAGTTTTAATTTTGATTTGGAGAAAGGTGTTGGTGATGATTGTTCTCTCTATCTCTCTGTGTGTCTGTCTGTGTGTCTGTCTGTTGGTCTCTCTCTCTCTCTCTCTCTCTCTCTCTCTCTCTCTCACACACACACACACAGGAGAGAGAGAGGAGAGGGGGAAGAGACACTTTTAGAGAATACAGCTTCTGCAGAGTCTTTGAAATTTAAAGTTGAGATGAGAAGGATATGGATAATTATTTCTGGATACCACCAAATAAGCGTATAGGTCAAGATATACCTGAGCAAGAAAATGCTTCTGTTCTACTCTAACTGATTACATGTGTAACATATGTATATTGCAGAATGTGAATCCCTGTTCTCATTTTTGTAAGCTATACAAGCTGATTATTAATCATTCTTAAGCTGAGGATAAAGAAATCTAGTTCATGCTTTTGGTGAATAAATGCAACATAGGTAAAAATGGTTTTAAATAAAGTGCAGATATGGAGGTGGTGAATTCTAGGCTTGGAATAAAGGACTTCAGCCATATAAAGATTTACTTGTTATATTGACCCAACTATATCACCTGTGCAAGATTCCAGAAAGCAGTGTTTGTGTTTTGGGGGAATGTTAACTTTATGCACATACATTTTGTGGGCAGATTCAACTTCTGGAATTTCACAAAATGATCAGGGCTCAGAACTCTCATGAGCTAATTGTTTTCATGTCAACAACAAAAAATAAAAAATAAAATAGAACGAGGGTATCTCATCATTTCTTCTTCAAATCAGGAAAATTTGAAAGAGGATTTTATCAGTATCACACACAATGTTTTTATAGCATTTTCAAGTATTCAAATTGCATCATAAACGCTATTTATTTGCAAACTTTATAACCATTCTGGAAGGTAAGTTAAAATGATTATCTTCTCTATTGCTGGGGGGAGAGGCAGGAAGAAAGAATAGCATTTTTCAAGGTTGTCTAGTAGATTCACGATACATTAAGAATTTCAGATTATACATCAAGAATTTTCATTATAGAAGGCCCTTGCTTAGCAACATAATTGAGTCTTTGTTACTAAGTGGTCACTTTATGGCCACATCATTTAGTAACAGAGTCTCAATTATAAAGTGCTCAAATATCACATGATCATGCTGACTTATGACAGAAGTTGTGGCAGTTCCATTTCCCATCAATCAAATCCTGCGTGATTGTTAGGCACAACATGATAGGATCACCATTGACTTTACTTGTGAAAAGTCAGTACTTAAAGTTGTGAATGGTGCTCACATGATTGCAGGATGCTATGGCCTTGGTAATTGTGAGCTAGGTGCCAAGGGCCCAAATTGCAGTAATTGGGGGATGTTGCCAATGCTTGTAACTACAAGGAGTGGTAATAAGTCTTCTTGTTCAGTGCCATTGGAATGTTGCTGAATGAGTGGTTGTTAAATGAGAACTACCTGAAAAAACTTTCCCTCTCCCTAACATTTAGCCTAGAGATACACGAAGCTTTCAGTAATGAAATTGCTAGTGTACAGCAAGTGTTGTAAAGCTGATATGCAGTTTAGAGTATATTCTGCCCATCAGTGTACATAATGTATACTGTAAATACAATGGAAGATCATTAATAGTGATGCAAAGAACCCAAAGAAAATTTTCTTCGTATTATCGGAAAAACGTGCAATCACAGGTTAGTGATTGCTACTGGTTCTTATGATGATTCTCAAATGGTCTTTAAAATAAAATTTTAAACATCTCATATTAGTTCTGCTAAAAGTGGCTGGAGTAAGTATTGTTCCTCAGTGGATAATTAAACTTTAGCTGTATAGAAAAATTAAACTATATAAAAACATAAAAATTAACTTTGCTTATTACTTTGATGAACAACTGATTTCAGATAGTATGTTCATTCCGGAGGTGGGTTCCTACCAGTTCGTACCTATTCGGTAGAACCGAACTACCAAACCGGTTAGAAGAGGTTCCACCAGTGGACCCGGAAAGCAGGCCACACCTACAGAAGAGCTTCCAAATTTTTTTGAAACCCACCACTGACTTGCATGCTTCAATGCCAGAGTTTCTGAGCCAACATGACTGGAGGAGGAATTCTAGGAGTTGAAGTCCACAAGTCTTAAAGCTGTCAGGTTTGAAGAACTCTAGTTTTTTTCCCTAAAGGGTTAGGGGTGCAAGGATCTTGTAACTTGACAGCTTTAAGACCTGCATGCTTCAATGCCAGAGTTTCTGAATAGCTACTTGAACCGACCTAAGTACTAATTCATAATTTCATATCCGGTTACATGGGTGGCAAGCCACTCCCATCTGGTCACATGGGTGGCAAGCCACTCTCACAAAGGAGGCCACACCCACAGAGTAGGTTCGAACAATTTTTGAAACCCACCAATGGTTCATGCAGTAGAAATTTATACACATTTCAGAATATCTAGGCATATTATTTTTCCTGTCATCCTGTGCTTTTAAAATATTTTCTTTCTGTGTATATGCATCCATCTACAGCACTAAGATTTTTTTTTAAATAAAAAAAATACACACAGAAAAAATAGACAAGGAAAGACACTCATCTATTTTCAGATAATATTCAAACCATCCTACAATCTTTCTCAGGAAGCAAGTCCAAACATTGGGAAACTAAAAAGCAGAAGTGAAAAAAATACCAATGTTAAAGTCTTGAACAGTGATGGCTAACCTTTTTGTTGCTGCATGCCGAAAGCACGTGCATGCGTGCATATATGCACCCACAATGCAATGCACGAGTGCCCCCTCCCCATGTGCCCCACTTTCTGCAAAATTACATTCGATCCTTCAGTGAGCATACTGGCTTATGGGTCACTGCTACCTCTTTTCACTTTTTTAATTGCATTTTTCAAAAGTTGTTTCAATTTTGCTGCCCACTAAAATTTGGTGCCCCTAGGCTGGTATCCATTTGGCCTTAACCTAGTGATGGCTCTGCCATGGCAGGACTAGAATTCATGTTTTTCGAGTTGTTAGCCTGGTGTGTTAATTATTATACAAAACTGGTTCTCCTAGCAAGTATTACTGTTAAAAAATAGATGTTGGACATTCGTGTTGAGTGGCAATAAAAGGAAATTCAATTCATTTGGGGCAAAATCTCTCAAACCATCTAAACTGTTTGCTAAATAATCTTGTGGAAGGACAGGTTTAGACTGTGATAAAAAGCCTGATTCCTATCATACTGGAACCACTTGGACCAGTACAAACTGAACATACATATTTAAAGTTTACGAATGTTTTTGTTTTATACTATTGCAAAGGCTTTAAAAAAGTTTAGGATGTAGGAAAAAGTTTATCAACCTTTTAAATCTTGTATAGAAGCTCAGGTGCTCTCAAAGAATGATGATGATGATAATACCATTAACATTAAATGGTTTAAATCTCAGCATTGTTAAAACTAGTAAGGTTTCTTTAAATGTTTTTAAGAGACTGCAATGTTATCTGAGAGACTGCTGAGAGCAACAGCTGATGAAATTTTGTGATTGCCTGAGATGTAAAACATTTTTGAAAAGAAAAATATAATAATTTGGGAGTTTGATCTATGCGCTCTATGGTGCTGTGAGTACAGCACACTAGAGGCTGTGTTGATAACCAACATGAGGAATAAATGTAAGTTAATATGTAGAAACAAACTTTTATGTTCAAAATTTTAGTGCTGAGTTTCTATGGATGAATTGTTCCTTTTTTATTGCCAGACAGACATAACAATATAGGTTCTGTAATAACCGTCTAGCGATGCATCATCAGATTAATGTTCAACTTTCCCTGTGCCTAAGTCATGCACTCTGCTTTAAAAATATCTGTATGTCCTCTTTTCAGCTATTTTGGAGTCATGGAAGATGGCAAAATCACTCAAATGTCCGAGAACAGCACTGACACCTCCAGCTTGCCTTCTTCACAGTCTTCACAGTCGTCTTCCTACATACCTGTCAAACTAGAAGAATACGAAACACCAGGCTTCAGCATCAAGAAGCTTCTCACAAAAGCCAAAGAGAATTACAATTGCAACCAACGAAGTGTCTTCAACTTCTTTCGACAGTTGTTCCCAGTAATTGAGTGGCTTCCTCGTTACAACATCAAGGAACAACTGCTGGGAGATGTCATCTCCGGCGTGTTGGTAGGAGTTGTTTCCATCCCTCAATCAATCTCTTATGCCCTCCTTGCAAGCCAGGATCCCATTTATGGTCTCTACACCAACTTCTTTTGTGCTATTATCTACTTTGCCATGGCTACCTCGCGCCATAATTGTGTTGGTTCTTTTGGGGTCCTTTGCTTGATGATTGGGCAGACAGTAAACCGGCAACTTACTCTAGCAGGGTATGATTTGGACATGGATACAAATCTGATGGCCAATACCACTATGAATGGGACAGTTGCCTGCAACAGAGGTTGTTATGCAATCACAGTGGCAACCACTCTAACGTTTTTGGTTGGGATTTATCAGGTAAGATAAATTAATCTTTCTTTGTAAAGACTTTCTTTCTATATAAGTGTCCTTCTAGCCTAAGCAAAAAATGGCCTTTATATTTAGTGCTCTCAAGAGTCTTTAAACTGAAAAAAATAATGCTGCTTCTAGTACAAACAAGTGTATCTCTACATGAAACATATAGGCCATCCGGGACTTCAGTATAATACTTCTAATTGTCCTGAGAATTGATTTAGAGAGCTTTTGCATGTAATATGCTTTAATGTGATTTCAATCATTTTAAGCCCTACTGAGTTACTGATGATTTTTAAAAAGTTGTTATTTCTAATATTTTATCAAAATTTATTTGTTCCAGATCTGACATCTACTTGTCACAGTCAACTTCTGTAACTAGAAATAATAGACAAATGCAAGTTGAGATCACCTTCTTTTTCAATGTATTTATTTCTAAATCATGAATTCTACTTGCTTTTTCCTTTCAGATTATTCTAGGGGTCCTCCAGCTTGGCTTCATCTCAGTTTATCTCTCAGAACCTCTTTTGAGTGGATTTGTAACAGGGTCCTCCCTTACCATTCTCACGTCCCAAATAAATCTTCTGTTTGGACTGAAGCTCCCTCGGCGTGATGGAATGGGTACCCTCATTTTAACATGGATCGACATCTTCACATACATTGGGAAGACCAACATCTGTGATTTGGTCACCAGCCTGGTGGCTTTAATTCTAATTGTGCCAGTAAAAGAAATCAACAATTATTTTAAGGACAAAATGAAGGCTCCATTTCCTATGGAACTCCTAGTGGTAATTGGAGCTACACTCCTGTCACACTTCCTTAACTTCAACAAAAAATACAAATCTAAAATTTGTGGCACAATTCCCATTGGTTTCAAACAACCTGCTGTCCCAGATCTGAGCCTTGTGTCAAATCTGGCAGTTGATGCTCTACCCATTGCCATTATTGGTTTTGCTATGACAGTTTCACTGTCAGAAATATTTGGAAAGAAGCATGGTTATCCTGTCCGAGCCAACCAAGAGATGATTGCCCTTGGGATGGGAAATCTGATCCCATCTTTCTTCTACTGCTTTGCTTCCTGTGCAGCCTTATCAAAGACTTTGCTGAAAGAATCAACGGGATGCCATACTCAAATATCAAGCTTGATATCTTCGGCTGCACTGCTCCTGGTACTATTGTGGATTGCGCCTCTCTTCTATTCACTGCAAACTTGCATCTTGGGTGTTATTACAATTGTTAATCTCAGGGGAGGATTGCGGAAATTTGCTGAAGTACCCAAGATGTGGCAGATCAGCAAAATAGACACCATAGTCTGGTGTGTAACCATGCTGTCCTCATCTCTGATCTCCACAGAAATGGGCCTTCTGATAGGAGTCTGCTTTGCTCTTCTCTGCATCATCTTCCGCACCCAACGGCCCCGAGCCACCCTTCTAGGTAAGGTGAATGACTCAGAAATCTATGAGGATCAGTTGACTTACAAGAAGATCACTAGCATTGCAAATATCAAGATCTTCCGCTTTGATACTTCTCTTTACTATGCAAACAAAGACTACTTTAAAAATTCACTTTTCCAGAAAACAGAGGTGAATCCATGCCTAGTTGCTGCTATACAACAAAAAGCTGAAGCTAAAGCAAACCTGAGCAAAAATCAAAGTTGTTTTTCTTCCAAGTTGAACTGCCTAAAGGGAACCAAGACCCCAAAGGCTTCAGCAGGTGGTCCCGATGCTTCGATAGATATGCATACCTTGATCATCGACTGTGGAGCCATGCAATTTATAGACAGTGTAGGCCTCAGTTTGCTGAAGGAGATGCGCCAAGATTACAAGAAGATTGGCATACAGGTCCTGCTGGCCAATTGTAACCCATCCATACGGCGTTTGCTCCAGGCAGGAGGCTGGCCCACTGGGATGCAGGATCCAGAGTTGGTCTCATTCCATGGTATACATGCTGCTGTGCAGTTTGCAGAGAAACAGGATCAAACTCAACAGTCGGACAGTGTGGTGGCAACAAATGCTTTCGTACCAGAAACCGAGGACGTTTCAATAGCCTTGAGTCTGGAAGAACCTCTCTAGGCTGTCTGAAGCAGGATGTGAACTTTTGAGGAACTGTTTCAAGAATTATTTTACCAAGAAGAAAGGACTGGCTTCCAATAACCTAAGATCAGATGCATTTAAGTTGTGACAGGCTAAAATGGTGGCCTTTACATTCCAGAGAATAATTATGCTCTGTTATTACATTACCACATTGTCCCTGCTATGGAGATAAAATGATGTGGGAAAAGCTGCTTAATTTCTTTAGTTAAGCAACTGTTAAAGGGAAAGAAAGGAAGATCTTCAAAGTAGGAGCATAATTATATTTTAATCCTGCATGAAGTTGGACCAGTATTTAATCAACAAAATAATCAGGAATACATAGACAGGTTGGGAATCATGAAGTAATGAGTCTGACCTACATATGTAGCTGGAGAAAGTCAGGGTCTGAACTGATAGTACAGCTTTATAGTCTTTCAATGGCTGTGCCAATTTAAGAAGACGCTCCCTACAAATTATGCCTTGCTTTACTACCTTATAGATTATCTACAAGAAAAAGAAATGGTAGGAGATAGAGAACATAAGCCCGATAGAGAATAGACAACTGGCACCTACCAGAATTAAGGACTACAAGTCCCATCAATCCTAGCCCTTAAGAGTGGTCAGGTATGATAGATCCGTTGCATCTGAAGAACGACAGATTGCCTACCCATGCTTTAAAAATAGCTGATCACAGTGAAAGTAAGCAATTGTTCATTCATTTTACAAGACTAAACATTGTTATCACTATATCTGTGCTCAGGAAGGGAACATGTCTTTAGTTGTATTATATCATAACAATTCAGCCCATTGGTTTTCCTAGAGAGGCACCCTCTTATCTGACCAATCTGGGTTTGCTAAACTGTCGAGCAAAGAGGAAACTCTTAGCAGAAATCCTTTAACTGGCACCAACAAGCTGAAGCTGTTCTTGAATAGATAGCAGAAGAGAGTCAGAAGGGAAGGGAAAAGTTGGTATTTGTTCAGAAAGGAAATGCAAAATAATATAGCTTTGGCCCCAGGAAAAGAATATTCTATTGGACAGAATATTATATCATCTTATAGATAGATAAGCTCTTAAGGTGATCCTAAGAATGCAGCAGGCTTTAAATGGCTTTGGAAAATGACTTGCATAAAAATGCTTTCCCTTCTTTCTGTCACCTCTCTAAAGATTGCCTTAGTTGCTCAACAATGGCCATTTCCTCTTAAAGGAAAAAAAAAGGGGCTGCATAAAAGTGGTGGGAAGGATGTCAATCTCCCTCCTTGTTGCCCTCTGTAGAACCTCCAACCTGTCTGCTCTCCTGCAGGTCACGCATTACAAAAAGTGATCTAGGAGCAGCCGGATGTCCTGCACTTGATGTGCAGCATTGTAACACATTGAAACCTGAGCTTTAGGTTTAGGAAAAATGTGTGCAGAAACAGCACAGGAGACATTAACAACAAGATGGGGCTCTTTGCCAGGAAAGAGAACTGAAGAAATTAATAAGAGCCGAGGTGGCGCAGTGGTTAGGGTGCAGTACTGCAGGCCACTTCAGCTAACTGTTATCTGCAGTTCAGTGGTTCTAATCTCACCGGCTCAAGGTTGACTCAGCCTTCCATCCTTCCGAGGTGGGT